GCAGCAACAGCATCGTAATCATCGTCATAATCAGCAGCAGCAGCAGCAGCAGCAGCAGCAGCAGCAACAACAGCAACTACAGCAACATCCTTGGCGGAAGCCAGCACCACCGACGACAAGTCGCCCGGTCGCGAATTCACCCAAGGTCCAGGTTGGGCAACTCACCCGGAAGCCCTATTCATCGCCGGCTGTTGATTTGCTACAGCAGCATCTGTCGCCACGGAGGACGGCGCTACTCACCGCTACGGCGACTCAGGTAAGCCAGTTTCCCGACTACCGGCAACTTCTCAGCGAGCGGATTATATATTGCCATCGACGGACACTCGGCTTTGCTATTCCACAAAATAATTGATTTACTATTCTCTGTATGGCCAGGACTCGATCCACTGTAGATAAAAAGCTATAAAAAAGTATTCCTTTCGGATTTAAGGGGATTTTCGAGTAGCACCGAGTAATACAAGATGGCTTATTCCATATGTTTATATTTCACATGTACTATATTCGTTTGCTTTCGTATTATCCAAGACAAAGATAATGACTTGAATATTTATATAAATATATATTTATTTATAAGCAATTTGTTTTAAGAATTAGTCAAATTTTATCAAGTTTTAAAAATTTTTCTTAAATAAAATTTGTTCTTTTATAATGACTTCGTCTAATACGAAATTTTACATCACCAAGTATTTCCCAATAAATGCAGAACGTTATTTCCTTCGATGTTGGATTTTTATTTTTTTTTTTTTTTATCGAATCTTGATAAAACTTTTTTATCGTCCATTTTTATTGTCAATTTTGTCATTACTACGACGACTCGGCGAGCACAAGCGATGAATTTATATAAATTGTATCGTAATGGCATTGGTGGAAGAGATGGTAAAATGAAAATCCGACCGATGCAGAAGCTTGAGAAAGTTTTAGAATGGGCAATGCTAAGTTAACATCGCGGCCAACACCTATCGTGTATTTAATGAAAGCTCGGCAAGTGAAAGCAGACCAAGGTCAGTGGATGCATGGCCAATAGAATGACTCAAAGAAACTCATTTCCCTTCTAAATTGAGTAAACGAATGCCCGACGAAGAAGACTCGAGGAATGGAATTCGCCGAGTTTGTAAAAAGCTCGCGCGCCCAAAGGAGCGTGAACGGAAAGCTCCAGCCGAGGTCTCGTCAGTCTTATAGTTATTGCGGCCTGTTTAATTGCGTTCAGGTAATGCCGATTAAATCGCCGAGGCAGAGGTCGCGTTTGAGGACGAGTCCCTGGCTGAGTGGCGCTGCGATCGCGACGCAGGGGACGCCACGGCCCTGGAGCAGACAGCAGCAGCACCTGGAGTCGGGGCACCAGCACGAGCGCTACTGCAGGAAGGAGAGTCTCAGCGTTGGACGCACCTCGTAAGTTCCTCCTCGTTCCGCTTTACGGAGCTCTCGAGCTCGGGGAAGTCTTGGGTCTTCGGTCCCTCGGGCGGACTCGCGAGCAGTTGCTCGACGTTGCGCCACGTCGCGTCTCCATTATCTTCATTAATCAATGATTAATTAAGGAGCTTTTATGGATGTGCCTGGCAACTCGGGGGAATCGCTACTACATTTTATCTCCGAGCACATATTACGTCGGCCTTTTTTCTACTTTATCGACTACGAGCGCTATTTTTTGCCCTACGAACCTTCAAACGATCTATCGCGAACTTTATAAGAAATTGCTTCTTAAGTGATTTATTCCGCGGTCGAGTTTCAATTTAGCGTTTGGAGTAAAAAAAATTTGCATCTTATCTCGGGTGCCTTTAAAGTTTCCGCAAGTTTCGCTTTTATCGTCAGATCTTGCTTGCACAAAAGCAATACTGCCAACGTCTTTCGTGACAAATTTTGTGTACCGACCTGTCCTAACCAAATTCTTGCCAATATAATAGATTTATCGTTCTTCGAGAAAGGAATTTATCATCGCATACGTATGGAATTTTTTATACATCCTGGTTGCGTGGAATACATTGTTTAAGGTATTGAAAAGTTTATCGTTTGAGTCTCGCCGTAGTGTCCAAATTGTCCTTGTACAGATTCGTTAAGCTCGTGTCGTGTGAAAGATTTCTGTTAAAAAAAAAAATAGAAAAAAAAAAAAATAATAAGGAACAAGACAGATTATAGGCCATTGTTATTTGAAAATGTTACAAATATTTCGTTCGAACGACAAATAATGATCAAATATTGGTCTATAAAAGAGCAAAAAAAAAAACAAAAAATAAATAAACAAAATAAATAAAATTACTCATAATAAAAGAATTCATAAAGAAAGTTCATTTTCATTCGAAAGATTGTAGAAATTTTGCAAAACCGCTAAAACCAACAGGGAGTTAGTAAATTTTCCTTCATAAAAGGTTATAATAATGTAATAGAGGTAGCGGTAACTTTTGAAAGAATATTGGATTTTTAGACTGAATAAGTAGCGATATCGTGTCGGGCCTAATAGGAGAGACAGAGCGAAAGTTTGGGAAAAGAAGGAAATACAAAGCGAACGCAGCCGAGCGCCGCCATTGCTGGTCTCTGAAATGCTTCATTGAGCTGCAATTCGATTTATAACTCTTTTTTCCCGGTTCCCTCGTCAAGTTGGGGGAAACGAGTTAGACTCACAGCTCACAGCTATAGTAGTCGGGTAGAAATGGTAGAGCAACGTGACTTTGTAATCCAATGTGCAAGTAGATAGTAGTCGCGACGCGTAATGAACGAGTGACGCACAAAAGAATCTCATAGCGTCGGTTGGATCCCCCCCCCCCTCCATCCTCCCAATAACCCCTCGTTAGCCACCCTCGATCGTTTCTCATCAGGACCAGCCATTCCGATTGGCGCAACACTGCCCAACTGCGCCAGCAGCAACAGCAGCAGCAACAACAGCAGCAACAGCAGCAGCTCCGGAATAGGTCGCGCAGCAGCAGCGCGAGCAGCTACGGGAGCATCCGGAGCTACAGTCGGAGTCGCAGCATCGGCAGCACCACGAGCAGCAGCAGCAGCAGCAGCAGCACCACGAGCAGCAGCAGCAGCAGCAGCAACAGCAGCAGCAGCAGCACTAGCAGTAGCAGCAGCGGCAACAGCACGAGCACCACGAGTAACAGTAGCAGCAGCAACAGCAGCGGCGCCAACGCCAACAGTCGCAGCAGCGACGATATCACGCTCAACGAGGTGAGACCGCCGCCCTTTCCACGCCGACCCCTCGCCCTAATATATGCAGGCTGCGAGGGTCTACGTCAAGCGAGGGTGCGACTCTAACGCCGATGTCCCATCATCGGCTTTAATAAACGATCGACTGTCGGCTCTTGACCTTCTCCTTCAGTGCATTTTTGCGGGGCTTTTCCCCGTCGGCAGATTGCACAAGCACCGCGCGATCAGTCCGCTTTTGCTTGTTATATGCGAGCCGGCGGTCGCATAAAGATTGCCGATGCGATTTGCATTTGACAAGTATTCTACAAGTTTTTGAATCGCGCGTCCGTGGATTTTTAATTAGCTCGAGGCTATCGCTAACGGCACTAATTCTCATCTCCTACCTATTCTTTAACATTCAATCGATATTTTCACTTGGGCATTCGGATATTTTTTAAGTGCATTTTCCGTCCTCCGCTGGTCGGCGGATTCAATTGGTCGCCTTAATTACGCACTGAGATAATGATAACGAGTACACGCAGATTGCACTCTATAAGGCAATATCGATCCGAGTTGCATTCGAGAATTTCTTTTGCGTGACGAATGGTTGGATGTTCTTTGGTAATGATGTTAGCTGTGAGAATGTAGAGATACTTTCGCTTTAAGAGCAGCTTGAACTTGCAAGTGAAATTTAAGCTCGACGATATTCGGTAACTTGTGGTCTAATGGCTCGCTCATTGGATTTTCGTATACTCGCGTAACTAAAATCGGATATGTAAAACCGAGGAGGCTAAATTAGTTGCGCAACTTCGCCAAGACAATAAATCTATGCACTTTGTTTTTGTTTTCGTAACGATTCTATAACAAATGCAAATATTACTCTCTAAAAATATAAATTTTCAACAACATAATCGACCCTACAAATCGATCATTTAAATCATTAGAATTTTAATACCTAACGCCGCGATATATTATTGCTGAAAAAATGTCGGGAGATATATTTTCCATATTCATAAAATAATAAAATTTTGTTTAACTCGTCATTTCCATGGCATTAATAAATTCCAGGTGCGTTAACTTAATTTACAGACGAATCAAATTAATTGGTCATTTTAATATATTTTTGTTTTTTGTTTATTTTGATTTTTTACTAATTGGATTAGCATAAAAACCGTCATTTTAAGGTACAAATGTAGACAGTAAATTTATCTTGATTCCGGCAAGTTGATTTGGATTACGACGAGTTTTATTAATTCATCTGGATATCGTCCGCATAAAAGCTGAAGATTTCTAAAATGAGAAAGTAGATAAGAAAGGCACGTGAAAAAGATTTTACGAGAGATAGTAATTAGCTTGCAAAGAGAATCTTGAACTTTAATCAACATAATTGAATATTAATAAGAATATAATGGCTGTAATTTAATATTTTAAAGCAATAAAAAGCTTTGTTATTGGAATTATCATAAATAGCTTATTATAACTTATCATAAAGCGTTATGATAATATGCTCTTGTTAATTTTCATAAAAGCAAAGGAGAAAGTCTATTTTATGGAAGTTCAGCAAGTACCGCGCATTAAAGGAACCTAGAGAAAACTCATCCTATTGGATGCAGGTATTAGGTCAATTCGATGAAAATTATCCGTACGACAAGGAAACGGACATCGTGTCGGATCACAGCGGCGGCGGAGGTGGCGGAGGCGGTGGCGGAGTCGGTGGCGGTGGTGGCGGTGGTGGCGGAGACGAAGGCGGCGGCGGCGGTGGATGCCTAGACAACAGTTCATCGGCCAACTTCTCGTCGGATGTGAGTGTGATTAGCCTCGACTTACACTTTGACTCGAGGAGCAGATCGGCCTCCAGGTATCAGTCACAGCAGCGCGGAATGTCCGGTCGTATGCAAAGGCGACGGAGGTACAGAAGGAGTGTCGAGCCGAAAGAGGATGAGGAGATCGAGTTGCTGCAGGAAGTGTTGAAACGAAGGTAGCGAATGTTTTTTTTTTTCCCCTTTTTTTTTTCTTTTCTTGACATTGGAATAACAAATAACATGCTGCAAGAGAGTATTTGCACGGCTCTACGGCTTTTAATTTATTTTCGCAAATTCGATAAGGATAAAGTTAAAAGCTGCTCGTTAGATTCATTCGGTATTCTAAAAATCTTCTCCTAATTTTCAAAGCCTTTGTCACTTTATAAACGAACAAAAACAATATTATTTTCTACATTAAATCTCGGCTCGGCTGATTATTCGATCGCTTTAATGGGACGAAAATTTGCAGTGTCAATCATAGAATAAAGTTTCATCATTTGTTTGAACTCCCAAGGGAAGATAATGTGATTTAAAAGGAATAACGAGTGGTGCTTTCTCATAATAATATGAACTTTGTCAATTAGAAATTATCTTTATAGATAACAATTGTGCAAAACCGTACAATAAATTGAATAAGACATCTCATAAAATTATGTGTATCGAATAGGAGAAATTCTACATTTTATACATGTTACATAGATAGAATTAACGTAGAACTGACGAATCAAAGCTTTTTTCTGCTTTTTTTTTTTAATTATTTTCTCGATTGTAGATAAAGTTTGTTCCGAAAGAGCCTATTTCTATAATCAATTTAAAAACTTTTAACTTCTGAGTGAAGAAAATTTTAGAATTTTAAGTCTAACGATTGAGCAACTTGATGTAAATTAATTACTACCTGCATATCTATTATTAAAATATCATTTGAAAATGCAAAAAATGTTTAAAATCTAATTATTATATAATGAATTTTAAAAAATAATTTTAGTTACAAAACTAAAGGTAAGCTCGAATGTAAAGGCAATATTTTTTTTTGTCAATTTTAATCGAATGAATCGTATTACTCATTTTCTTTTAAGCAAAGTTTTGTCGCACATATTAAATTTTTTTCTCAAATGAATTTCAATTAAATTGATCATAAACCTATTTTGATCTTCATGAGTAAAAATAAGTATGAGATTCTCCTCTAATTGAGATGAACGACTATTCTTAATAAAATTGATCTCATTTTTAAAATAGCACCGGTGCAAAAGCATTATTCTATTCCTCTTTGACTTTTTCATCAACTTTTATTGTTTTAATATTTATTCATCTACCAGCCGTTGCATGTATACGTGTGTGTATATATATATATATATATATATATATATATATATATAGAGGAGATATCGTTCAGACTAATTGAGTAAAAGGAGGATAGGACAGTTTAAAATTCATTAACTTTAAAATGACGTTTGGAAAAACAGTTTCTAACGTATTAATTGTCGTTTGCGTCATTGATAGTCTAAGCTTAATCGCTAATGTGCGCGAGCCATTCACCTATTAAACTTAACAAGAAAGCAAATCGCGTAAATTAGGGCATAAATGTCGTACAAAGCACGCGATTGTAATGGGCAAATTAGAATAAGAAAATCCTATTGGTGACGAAAAAGAAGGCGAGCAAATAAAATGTGGAAAGCTACTGATGGAAAGTGTTGAAAAATATCAGATTAAAGAACAACAACAGCGAGGCCTCGGCGCAATCGAATCGCGCCCTCCTCGAGAGGTTGCTCATGAAAAACGCTCACAGCGGCTTCGAGGACAGAAGACGCGCCTGGTCGGCAAATCCTGCCCCGACGCGTCCTGTCGCCAGCAGAAGCGTCGGCGGCACGCCTATCTGTCTCAGGAGAAGGTTCTCACGGCCGAGGAAGAAGCTCATCTTCGAGAGAAATCACCAGATCCACCCGACTGTGAGTATTACGGGAGAAACCGAAGGCTAAACTCCCTTAGTCTCCTAGGGCGCTGCGCTGCACCAATGCTTGCGAATGTAAACGATTACATTAGCATAATTGATACTCGGCAGGGAGAGACGTCTTGTGCGCACACTATTGCCACACGCGCGCACACACACGCACCTGCACACGCCCACACTCACACGTATAATCACACTCTCTCGCACACTTTATTATCGTACAGCTGGGCAGATCTTCCATTACTATTTAAATTTTTAAATAATCGCAGCGATTTTGCTGAAAAAAAGACTATTTTAAAAGGCCTTTTAATATTACCTTAATAACGTATTCTGCCATGCTAAAGCTACTATTGCCAATGTTTTAAAAATTTTCTGAAAACCTTCTGTCGGGCGCGTTGTTATTATTATTATTTTTTTTTTTATATAAGTTATGACCCCATTTGATATTGATGCAATGATATAAGTTGTACGTATTATACATTTACAGATAAACGAATAATCGAATATCTAATTAGACAGTTTTTATATTGCGAAAGAGAAGAAAAGCTTTTTGAGGTAGGAACAAGTAGTCGAATGGCTTATATGAAAAAATAAGTATATATGTGAGTAACATATGCCAGAGTGATATGTAGCACGATATAAAGTACTTTATAAAGCGACGTAACTATAAATACGAGTGACTTCAACAGTATCAACGTCCTTCGCCGTGATGGAAAATACTTTTTTACATTTTCATAATTTGCATTTGAAGCTTACTGCATGAAAATGAAGTGTTGCTATTTTTTTCTAAAATTTAATAAGAAATACTTTTCTTTTAATGCCTGTTTCTTTTAATGAAAGACAAATTGAACATTATTGCACGGATTATTATTATTATTATGGTTGTTATTATTCGTTAGAATCAATGTTTGATAGAATAATGAATGAAAGATTTTTTTTTTAAATTCATTGATTTGAATGTTTTTAAAAAAAATACTCATTACGTAAATAAATTTTGAAATACATTTCGTTTTTAAGGATTAAACTTATTCTCTAATACATAATATTTAATAAGTTGATTAACGATTTCAGATGATTCTACGAAATTACGATAATATGCATTTAATATAACTATCCAATACGTTTTTAAAAATTCAAGTGGTTTAATCAAATTTTGATTAAAAGTTTGGTCAAATAAATAAAAATAAGCGATAAAAAATTTGCAATGTAACCTTAATCGAGCACAAAATGAATATTGAAGCCAGTATTTAATGAATTATCCGTAAGATCAATTAATCATTATATTTCTTATTTTTTTTTTTTGTTGTTATTTTTTTGCTTTTAATATTTTAAGATATTTTAGTAATTGGAAAAGAAATATTATATTTCACCAATAATGTTATAAAAAATAACCTTAATAGCCTTAATTAAAAAATGTTATTAATTTTTATTGATTCTTATATTAATTGTTACATCAATTTGTTTTGAAAATTAAATTTAAATTCAAATGGAAAGTCAAATGTCATAAATATTTTATTACAAAAAATTAAAAATTATAAATAAACTTTTAAAGTGTTTCAATAACAATTTTTTCTTTTTTTTTTCTTTTTTTTTTTTTTTTTTTTTTTTTTGTTTTTGTTTTGTTCTGTTTATTAATTATAGATTATTTTTATGAAATTAATGCAAATATAATTGTAAATTTATAAAGGCATCTTACTTTTTCAATGACTTTACTTTATCATTATAATTTCATAATTCATAAAGTGCACAACATTTATATGTCGAATCAAATCAATTGTATAATAATTTTGAATAATCGACTTTAGTTATTAGAATTTAGTCTTTCACCGTTCGATTATTTATATTATTGATTAAGGCTCGGTGTAATTATAAAAGTATTATTAAAAAAAAAAAAAATGAATTTTTGAATAATTATGCATTCGTCTGCTCCCTTTAAGGAATAAATTATTTATTAATTACATTTCCTTGTGTTTAAGAATTTAGTTTCAAAAGTATGAATGGAAAAGTTTTCTTCTATATTTGATTATCATTTATTAGGGGGAGCGATGAGTTTCGTAAAGAGTAAAATAAGATTTGACGTTCTCTTACAAGAAAATATTGTAGTAAGCTAAATAGCAGTAAATAGAAATATTGAGAGAATTTATTCGTTTATTAATCAATAAAACTCACAAGTCATATATCATTACATTAGTAAAACCCATAAGATAAAATTCTTCTTATAAAACGAAAATCTCTAAATTGTATTAAGTGACATTAATATCGCCATGCTTAATATAATTTAATTTATATTACATTTCCCATTATTATTTCAATTCTATTCGATGATTTTAATTCATTAATTTCTTGAACATATATCATATATCTTATTTGAATAGATATTTTTTTTTTAAATAATGATAAGAGTATTTTCTTAATACTCGCTGTCTAGCGTGTTTTAATACTTCGAGAATCAAATTTAAGTATAAATTTTGTTTCTCAGTTGGGAAAAATATTATCTATAGCGGAAATTCTACAGTTGTAAGTTAAAAAGTCGAAGTAATAAAAGTAGAACAGCTCAAACAATACTTTAAGAAGAAAAAAAACTATATATTCAGTTATAAAAGTTTTTTTTTTTTTTTTTTTTTTTTTTTTCGTCAAGTGTATTGGTAGACAAGTTTCTGGGAGATATTCATTAAGTGCATTTAGCTACAATTGCATTACCGTATACGTCGAGTAGATTCGAAAGTTTCTCGCTTTCATGGCTCACAGATGTCTGCGAGTACAAATTATAACTATATTTATGTACCGTTTTCTCACATTACGTAGATAAAAGAACACCCTTAAATATAGGATAAAATGTATTTTAAAATAGAAAGATTATTTTTTTATTGTAAATTGTTGGATTATAATAGAGAGGAGAGAGAGAGAGGTGATTTATTTAGAGCAGAGAGTTCGATTTAAAAATTAACATTGTTATATAGTACGTCAATCGTGGTGATCTCGTGATTAAAATTAATTGTTAATTTATTTTTACTTTCGACAATTGTCTGTTTATACATTATAATATTACCGATACGGATGTTTTAGTAATTCTTATTCATTTCTATTATGCTTATTCAGAATAGATCTATAAATAATTAGACTTCTGCCTTATCTTTTGTTGTTAGGGCTTTAAATGTTTGGTTGGTAACAGAGAATTCTACGATATTCTCTCGGACCTGATCGAGTCAATCATGGACATTATATCGTAGACGATATATATATATGCCTGTGTGCACACATATGCAGGCACCATTCCTAAATATACGAATATCTTATACAAGATTATTAAAATGATATTAAACGCTTAAATTCTTATTATATCTTTTTAATAAATACTATATATATATATATATATATATATATACAAATGCCAAAATCATAATATAATATGAATATGATATAAATAAATAATATATAAGAGTATTGGACTTTGATTGTAATGATTACAATAAAAAATCATGATATAATGTTATTGCATAATTTATTTAATAATCAAAAATTTCTTTTCATTTATACATACAAAATTGGTCGGAATTGTGATGACTACGAATGAAAAAATATCGTTTTCACTTGAATGATTTATTCGATTGAAAGCTTTAGCATACAGAATTATGTAACAATTAAATTATTATTTTATCAGGAATAATGTTATAATTCGTAGAGGAAAATTTATTGCCTTATAATGCAATAAATTAAACCATTTTACTATTATTAATGACAAAAAGGAATTGCTATTCTTATATCTATCTTATATTCGAATATTTGAATCATTTCATGCAAAACGTCGTATGAAAGTTTTTTCAAGCGAATCATCTAAATTGAAGAAATAAAGAAATGAAAAACATAACTCCTAGTGCTAACAGTGAAGTGAAATGTGACTAAAAATCTTGAGTAGGCTACTAGCCGTCTTGATAAGGCGTTGATAAGGTAATCCCCGTATTATTCAGGAAAGCAGCAGTTCACTGCAGAATGCCTCGGCCTCGGAGCTGGCGTTGATGGAGGCCGACCGGGAAGCCGATCTAAAGTACACTCAGCTTATAATGGAAGCGGAGCGTATGTTGCTGAACGCCCAACAGCAACTTGATGACGAGTCACCGGTGGAGACACCCTCGCCGAGATTACCACGCGGCCACTGTCGAAAGCAGCGTACGGCTTTGAATCGCCGAGTCGAGCTCATCAAGAACGCAGAGCTCAACGCCGAGCTCGCCATCTCCAAGAGCAGGAACTCCCAGCCGGAGCTTTCGAGCGGCAGCATCAAAGACTTATACGATCACTCGAGTCCGAAAAGGTTACTTCAGCAGGTGAGTCCCCAATGCCCTTTCTTTCCTAATTACGATAATTCTACGGGATGGCCAAATTGGAACAAATTAATCGGCGACGTTTAGGATGTTGGCAGTAACGTGGATAGGAATGATGTCGAATACGGATCACGAGAAGTTTGCATCTCTCAAGCTGTTTACTCCATTTATGAGCGAATCCTCATGAATGCTTTGATATTGATTATATATATATATATATATATATATATATATATATTAAAAGCTTCGATTCTTGCTTCGTCTCTATGAATTGGAATGTGAGAAATGCATGGACATTTCAGCGAAGTGGCATTTGATAAATTTGCAGTTAGACGAGAGACTGGCGAATGAAAATAAAAATAATAATAATAATAATAGTAATAACGATATTATCGCTTATATTATTATTACTAAATTTATTTTATAATATACGTAGTGCCTCGATATGTACTCGTAGCCTTCAAGCTTAAAATCCAAATTTAATGATCAGTAATTACGAGTTAACGTAAAGGCGAATTATTAAACGAATTAATTTGAATTCATAGATTTTTCAAAAGCTTATTAATTATATTTAACTTTGTACATATCCATTTAATAGTATGTTATATGTCAAAAGCATATCTTTCGTCTAATTACAATTGCGATAAATCTACGCACTTTACGTTTTAATTAAAAATTTTATGATTGTAGCAACAGAAGAAAATTATCGATCCAGTAGTTAGCCAAACGACTGTCCCCAAACAGACCGTGGATAATAGTTTATCGACTTTCCAGTAAGTAAGAAAATATCGTATTTTAAAACTGCAAGTTGCGATCAATCGTAATAGCCTTGTTATATAATATTTTGCAAATCTGAATAATGAACTTGGGAGAGAAATTGAAATGTCAAACAGAAGGTCCAAGCACGTATCGTGTCAGTGTTTAATCGGTTGAAATCGATCGGAAATACTAGTCGGTGCAAATCATACATCGGGAGCTAAATATATTCCCATATTATCCTTGGATCCCATTGGTTGCCAAGAGCACATACTTAATCGTCGCTTTTCCTATTTAATTGAATAAGTTTAAATTTAAAATCCTAGCTCGTCGATGTACTATTAAGGGATCGTTTGTTTAACATCTGCATTACCGAGAGTTCCTATTGCATAAAATGACTAAGGAATTGCGCGCACAGGTCAATCGACGTTAAGCCCGCGGCAATACTCCTGTCGACGGGATGCACCAATGAATCGACCTCGGGATACTCCTGTCCCCAGAGTGAACCCGTCAAGCGCAAGGTATACGAAAGTCAGAATGGAAGCGGACGAATGCTGCAGCGTCAAGCGGCTCCGTGGCTCCGAAACTCGGACGGCGATTGCGCAAACGAGCAACAGCAGCAGCAACAGCATCAGCAGCATCAGTCGCAAGTACGTGGATTTATCAACGATGTTTCTCTCCTGCTTTCGACGCGATGCCGACTCGGGTTTGCTTTTCGTCGATTTTTTTTTTTTTTTTTTTTTTTTTTTTTTTTTTGTATTTATACGATTAAGGCACATCGATATGAGGCGATGTGAATTGAAATGTTAACGAGCTTAACTTGGAACTTTCCTGTCTAATTTTCAAAGAAACTTGTTCATTTTGAGCTTGCTATGCCCATTAAATAAACTCATATGGACGATGCTAATTGAAATAAGAATGATAACCCATGTATACGTACTGTTTTAAAATTAGTAATCGCCGCACATAACTATTATTCGATAGTCTTTGCACTCGTTTAACTCTACGTCTCTCTTTTTATCAACACGTCAGGCAGGTACTTCATTTCTGCTTTATCAACATGCATGGATATAGCTATATGCATGGTTGAAATAACTAGAAAAATAATTTAATATAAGCACACGAATGCCAATGTGGATAAATACATTTCGTGGCTCGAGTTTAGTAAACTAAATAAATAAATTGCTAAAAAGTCATAAACTAATGATTTTTATGTGATCGCCGTAGCTCCAGTCGTCCTCGGCGACCTCGTCGTACTCCCAGCTGAGGAAACATATGCTTATTGAGACACTTCAGGGTCTAAAGCAGAGTCTGGAGGACCAGTCAGCGGCCTTGAAGATGAATTGCCTGCGACCCCTTTAGGAACCATGGGATTTCATCAGATTTTAACTACCATCGCTACGATCACTACTACTACGATCGCTATCACTACCATTACTCCTACCAATATCATTACTACTATTACTATCACTACACCACTACTGCTACTACCACTATTACTACTATTACAACCACCACACTACTACTGCTACTACTACCACTACTGCTAATATTACTACTATTGCTGCTGCTGCCGCCGCCGCCACTATCACTACTATCTTATTTCGTAGTTATTCTTCCTACATAAGCTGCCTTGAAGCTATTTTATATATATATATATATATATATATATATATATTAGTGTATGCGAACAGTTGAAGGTCTGTATGAGAGTCGACAAGTATGCGTTGAAGAATAAATTTATCGGAAGCGATCATACGTATGCATTTGTGAGTACGCGGACGTGAATTCTATTGTAGCCGATCGTATACGAATAGGAATAAAGAATCTTATGAAAATGAAAAAATATTAATCGAACTAGATCGGATTCTAAGAAAGCGCTGAGCTGTTAATTGATCTGTTAAAGAACAGCAAGAGAATACCGCGGAACGCGATTATTTGCAATCTCGTTTAATCAAACCTAAATTCCGATAATAGCGTAAAGATAATATGACATATCCGACTGTATTTAACCCGATAAAAATAATTTATCGACGATAGTCTATAACTACGCATATAACTGATCAGATTAAACTTTTTAATTGTAATGGAAATATCTAATCATTGTTATTTTATTCCTAGCAATGTACAACTTTACTCGTAATATTCTATAATTATAATCTATCATAGAATTATAAAGTCTGTTTATGCTAGGGATCGCAATATAAATTCGTCTATTAAATTGAAATTTTCTCTGAACTCTGATCGGTTATGATGATATTTAAACGCAGTAATAATTAATAATGTAGAACTGAAATTGATGTTAGATGAAAATATTAGAAAACAAATTTACATTCGATATTGTTTGTATAAATGTAATTGTAATGGACTGCTTACGTTTGTCACAGTTTGTTTTTTAGGACAATTTACATACATTTAATTAATTATAAATTAAAGCGTATAAAAAGTTAAGATTTAATCAATTGAATGGAAGCTTACACTAGATTTCATATGAAATATTTATAAGTTAATTATTATAGTATAATAGTAAAGTCAACTGTTATATCGATAAATAATAAGACGTTAAAACGTCTCTAATATTATTTTAATTTGAAAATTAAGTTATATTATTTCATTATATCAAAGCACGGCGTAATTAAGCGAAACATTTTCAACTCTTCCATAGGTTAATATCCTAAATAATTACTAATTATCGAAAAATCGTTAATCCACCGTATCTCCACTAGCTTTAATGGCGTGTTAAGAGGATTTTAAATGTTTGAACGGAGAAAGACATTTAAAACTTATTAGACATTCTTTATATATTATATGACCTTTGTTTTCTACTAAGATTATACTTTTCAAACACTCTTTAAAAGCTCACTATTAAAATAAAATTATATATTAATTTAAAAGCAATATTTTAACTACGAAGTTTTGCAATATTTTTATATTTCTGTACGATTTTATATAAAGTATTATAAAAGTAATATATAAGGCTCCAGAGTGGCATGAAATGATCAAAGTATATTTATATTTGTGCACGACAAAAATAAAAAGATCACCAACGTATTTGCTAGACACTGTTTAATGACGAAAGCTAAATAACACTCGATTTATAAAGCAATACCTTTGGGATGTACAGATTTCAAGATCATTTAATAAAATATTACTTATTCCATTCATGTGACGTGTAAAATAGTTTGAGGTGAACTTAATATGATCGACGACTGTATGCTTCATTCGCGTCCTCCAGTATTACAATAATCAATTTGCAGCCGTGAAAGTGTCGAAACAACATTAACGTCAATAACATACTCTAATTCCACTAATGATTAAGATTTTTATTCTATTGTTTAATCGCACCCTAATTGGACCGACTAATTGGACATGAATCATTCATAATACATGGCAATTAAATAATTATCAATTATTAAAATGTATTTATAGTAGAACAAATCAATGTGTATAACCATTGTCATGGCTAATAATTAAAACTTCACGCCAGTAAGTTTTATAATAGTTTTGTAATTTATCTCAATTCGATCGTTCTAGTGATATTTAGGGGTATTTTAAGTTGTATTGAAAAAGCATTTATTTACACAAGTTTCTCGCTTTTTATTAACTTCATTATTCTTTTCCAATGGCTTTCAAAATATTTGTTGATTTTTAATTTCTTAAATATACTTTGAGCGTATGTGTATCGAACGGGCATACTTACTAAAATAATTCAATCTTTTTGTATGAAAAATCATTATCGTACGAATTCATTAATTTGCATTCTTGTACAGACTTTTAGCTGTGTCTGCAAATTTTTAAATCGGTGAATCCAGACTGCGCAAATTTTGCGAAAAACTTTCATACTTATTATTAGCGGCGATGACATAGGAATGCGACGCTATTTTATAACGTGCAATAAATAACTTATAGATTGTTCTATATACATTAATAAACATAATGTTTTCTTATACTCATTAAAATAAAACTTGTATATTAAATTATTATATGTGACCTTTCTTCTCCATCGATATGGGATTTCAATTAAAATCGATGAAGTTTAATTTTAGTATTTTTTATGGACATGTATGTAGTCATAGGAAAGAAACATGTGGTTAAAAAATTTTTTTTTTTTTTGTACTTAATCATTGAATATATATTATTAAGAAATTTCGCCGTCAATTTCATGAGGATAACCGAGGTTTATTATTATTTTTTTTTTTTTTAAAGTGACGTACAAAATTAATATATTGTATTCAAATTATCATAAACGAGTTATGAATTGTAATGTTAAAACTTATTGAAATATTTTTAGATATGTGAAAAAATATATTATTTTTGTTTTATTTGCTAACATGGAATACATGTTAATTTAATTGTTCAAAAAGATCCTGAAATTCTCACACCTATTTTAACAACTTCAAAGACAAAATTTTAGAAAAATTATATTTTATCTTTTGAAAAGACAAAATTGCTATTTGAGCAATAGCTACATCAAGGAAATAATATTGTATTCTTTACATAACAACAGTTATTTCAAATATAATATATTTTGAGATAATTATGTTATGATCTATGACTTTATTAATAATCAATTTTTAATTTTACATACTTACATTCCCATCAACAATATCTAGCGTATCTTTGTTATCACTAAAAAAAGAAATGTATGTACATGTAATATTGATATTGTTTTAATATTAGTAGAATTATATAAGAGAACTTAAAATATATTTTATAAACATTTTTTGTTAATAACAGTTGAGACTAAGCATAGAAATTTTGTCTCTATACATAAGACTACATGAACAAATTTACTTTTCTTGCATGGAAGAAAAATAATATAGTAATAATAGTACAAATAGTTCTAATTGAATTATTAAATATTGTAAAAACTGTAATCTGCTACTATTTATATTTCAAATTACAGTCCATCATGATTAATTGTCATATATATTGATATAAAGATTTGTTCGATTATTGTAAGTATTTCAAAAAAAAAAAGAAGAAATTTATTTAAATTCTGTTTTGTTATAATAGATATAGTAATGATGAATTTATAAAGATTTATATGCTTTTATTTTAATTTTACAAATTGTTTGCAATGATTTATTTGAAAACTAGATTTTATTTTCTATATTTCTGAGCATCGATGCTGTATGCGTTGAACGAGCAGCCAGTCGCGTCTTAAATAGCTGACACTTGCCAAACTCTTACATATCTAAATAACGTTAACGATATTATCCTCGGATAATTATTGGTCTTATAAATAATAATTTATAGTATATCTGGTAGGTTTAGTGAGACGCTAAATTAAGAGAACTTGAAATTACATTTACTCATGTATTCTAGAATTCATTAAAATATATCACAATTATAGGTATATTACATAGCCTATTTCTTATAAAATTTGTCTCCAATAACGTATTATGTAGAAATATATCTCAAGTTATTTAATTTTTTTAAAACTATGTTTGAGTTCGTAAACACCAACTGGTTGGCCAATTTTATCACAGTAGTCTACCCATTCGCCCTCGCTTAAGTCTACATCCTTAAATATTTTACCGTTATTCGCAGTTTCGACTACCCATCCATCTTTAGCCACAAATTCACGAGGTTCTAAACCTCGACAATCGAATACTACAATGGTCTTCAATTCGTTACAGCTATTGGCTTTAATTCCAGCGATCGTATCGGACAAAATAGTCAAGGAATTTTCCCTGGAACAAAATTTACATTTATTAAAAAAATGATTCACAGCACTGCCCCTTTGCTTAGATGTTTCTTCAGCCAGCGAAGCATAATTCCATTTGCTCGATACTTCTCCACAGTTGTTGCAAGCAAATTTCAAATACCATCGAAAATGTGGATCCGACGAGGGACTCAGACTTTCAACATTTTCCAAATTGGCTTTTAATTGCAGAGCAATCTTCACCATTTTCGTCCAACTAAATAATCTAAAACAATAGATCATAATATTAATATAATTTATCCTTATGCAATATTCACAAGCTCATTGTTTTTTTTTTTTTTTGTATCTATTTGCTTAAATGGCACTCTATTTAATATGGTTACATTTCCAATCGCAAATTCCATTAAAAGTTAAGGATTTAGAAGCCTATCAACTTTCAAAGATCCATTAAAACGTAATATTATATATTGTTATCGTTATCCTACCTATCGTTCCTAATCCAATGATAAAACCCGCCCGCTCGCAACAAAACTAAATTTATAAGAAATAAGGATAGTTTTTACTAATGGAAAGAAGTTCCATTTTTGGCCACCACGCTCAACTGGCGCCCCCATCTTCTCTTCGCCTAAATTCCTCTAGTCTCACCTTTCCCGCTTCGGTTGCAAGTCGACACTAACTCGACTACGTAAATTTGTATGTCGATGAGCTTTAATCCTACACAGTTCTAGTAGGGACCTGAAGAAGGGCCATTTCGTTTCTCCCCTAGCGGACAAACACAAACTCAACCTACTATTGTAAACAAATACATCATTATTATTAATCTTAATACTATTATTATTATTATTATTATTATTATTATTATTATTATTGTTATTGTTATTGTTATTGTTATTGTTATTGTTATTGTTATTGTTATTGTTATTGTTATTGTTATTGTTATTGTTATTGTTATTGTTATTGTTATTGTTATTGTTATTGTTATTGTTATTGTTATTGTTATTGTTATTGTTATTGTTATTGTTATTGTTATTGTTATTGTTATTGTTATTGTTATTGTTATTGTTATTGTTATTGTTATTGTTATTGTTATTGTTATTGTTATTGTTATTGTTATTGTTATTGTTATTGTTATTGTTATTGTTATTGTTATTGTTATTGTTATTGTTATTGTTATTGTTATTGTTATTGTTATTGTTATTGTTATTGTTATTGTTATTGTTATTGTTATTGTTATTGTTATTGTTATTGTTATTGTTATTGTTATTGTTATTGTTATTGTTATTGTTATTGTTATTGTTATTGTTATTGTTATTGTTATTGTTATTGTTATTGTTATTGTTATTGTTATTGTTATTGTTATTGTTATTGTTATTGTTATTGTTATTGTTATTGTTATTGTTATTGTTATTGTTATTGTTATTGTTATTGTTATTGTTATTGTTATTGTTATTGTTATTGTTATTGTTATTGTTATTGTTATTGTTATTGTTATTGTTATTGTTATTGTTATTGTTATTGTTATTGTTATTGTTATTGTTATTGTTATTGTTATTGTTATTGTTATTGTTATTGTTATTGTTATTGTTATTGTTATTGTTATTGTTATTGTTATTGTTATTGTTATTGTTATTGTTATTGTTGTTATTGTTATTGTTGTTGTTGTTGTTGTTGTTGTTGTTGTTATAGTTGTAATCATAGTATTGTCGTTGCTGTTGCTATTATTATTGTTATTATCATTATTACTACTTACTACTACTCCTACTACTACTACTGCTGCTACTCCTACTACTATTACTACTACTACTACTACTACTACTACTACTACTACTACTACTATTGCTACCACTACTACGTCTTCTACTGTTCACTATCGCTATTACTATCACTATCAATACCGGTACTACCACCACCACCCACTACTACGTCATCTACTGTTCACTATCGCTATTACTATCACTATCAATACCGGTACTACCACCACCACCACCACCGCCACCACCACATCTACTACTACTACTACTACTACTACTACTACTACTACTACTACTACTACTACTACTACTACTACTACTACTACTACTACTACTACTACTACTACTACTACTACTACTACTACTACTACTACTACTACTACTACTACTACTACTACTACTACTACTACTACTACTACTACTACTACTACTACTACTACTACTACTACTACTACTACTACTACTACTACTACTAATACTACTACTACTAACACTACTGTTGTCGTTGTCGTGTAGTCGTAAAAGTTGTTATACGAATATCTTTTGTAAGGAAATATGCAAAGGTTTATGAAACGATGGGGAATCCGTATTTTTATCGTCTATCCTTGTAAATGCATTTCTTTTTTCAATTTCAAATCGTATATAAATACAATAGTGAGGAGGTGGTTGGCTAAAAGACAGTCGCATGTCGCCATCAGTTGACTAGTATTAAGGCGCCATGTTTTATAAGGATGTCGTAAAAATCGTATAGGGTTGTAGGATATTTGATGCAGACAGACAAGACAGATATTACGTATAAGCGAGTACTTTTTATCCAAATGATTAAGCAAATGGCCATTTTTGTTACAACGTTCCTAATAAAATGATTAGAAAATTATTTCACTTGGGTAAATGAAATACGAGTTATGGATATATGACCAAGTAATTTTGACTGCAGCCCAAATCGTTTTGTTGTAATGTAACAAATAGTATGTAAAGAGTGCTAAAAGCACGTAGAACATCTCGTTGAGATGTGACATTTTCCCCCCGAAGTATTTGCATAAATTATGCGAGTGTGTCAGAAGTATCGTGATTCGTAATGAAAGAGCGTATCATTGGATTGAGAAAATGAGATGTCGAACGAAGTAAATAAAAGACTGTAGGATATAGAAATAAGTTGGCCGAGTAAATTGTCGGTAAATGCAAGTTTTTCGTCGCTTCTCCTTCGCCTTGAATTTCATTGCAAAATAAACCGCGGATAATTGCATAATTGCGAGGGCCGGGTAAACACCTAAGGTGAGCATTAATTTAACTAGATTTTCTCGTTGACTTATTTGAGTGATTAAATAACTTATTAGTAATCAGGCTTAAGCGAGACAATATTTTAGACCCTCCAGGCAGTTTCGATTGTCATTGAAAACTAAGCTGGCGTAATTAACTCAATCGTCTCATACTATGAGTGTGTTTGAAATTTGTTAACTTTATAAGGTCAATGAGTTTCAATTGAGCTCAAAACTTGATCAAGTTCGATCGATTGATTCGATGTTGAGAAGTCGATGGAGGTGTTCAATATTAATAAGGAGAAATACGGGGAAAACGACGATTACCGCTTCCCGGAATCCTCGAATATAGTCACAAAGTGGAAATCCAGGGGCTGATCGACTGAAGTCCAGGATACTGTTCGTATCGTGACCTCGAGAATCGTCGGGCCGGAACGATGAGAGATACGTGAATCGCCTCTTTAAAACACTCGACCATCCTTATAAAAAGTTAATTTGAGATTTGCATCTGTGGGTTTCGCTACTCTTGAGTAATTGGAGTACTCATTTAGCCAGTAGCATTTGACGATTATAATGCAGGAACTCTCGAGTGCGTCTTATCGGTGTAATTAATTTTTATCATTATTCGGAATAATACTGTCATGATAAGGCATTTGGATTGAAGGGAAATCAGTTTTATTTAATAGTGGTAAAAAAAATTTTTACTTTCCCATATCAGTGCTTTTCATGATTAGTAAGTAAATTTTAAACAAATAATGATCCTTCGTGCAATTTGTAAGCGCGTATTATTATTATTTTAGTTATGTATTTATATTACACTATTTAACATGTACGATTGTGCGATAATTAGAATCTATTTTAAAACCATTCCAAGTTTCACGAATGAATCGATCTGAAATATTTTATTTATTTCATAACTTCATATGTCGTATAAGATGCACTTATTGTTCGAAAAATTCATTAATGTAATCAAGATGTCGAGTATCAAGCAACGAGACAAAATATGTTTTTATATAATTACATAATTATTTAATTATACATGGCTTATTTAGAATTAAATTTGACAAATGTTTGGATAATTTAATAATAATAATAATAAATATATATATATATAAGTACCATCTGAGGATCAGTTTTAATTTAAAAATAACAATTATATAGCTAGCTATATTGTATAAAAGGCAACTTGTCGAATTAATAATATATATATATATATATATATATCAGGCTTTAGAAATAAATAAATATTGTTGATAAATTTGTATTACAGGTAATTTTTATCCGACGAAAAATGACGAAAATTGAAGGGAAACAGCGAAAACTAAATCGGAACGTCGGAGGTCATAATTAGGCAGATAGACTCTCATGACACGAAGGCGCAACAAGTTACAATAAAGTGTTCTTACGAAATTGAAGCCTCGTAGTGTAGTAATCATCTTGTCTCTTTCTTTATTTTCTTTCCTTTTTTTCGACCCAGTGACTATGTGCGCGACTTTATCTCTAGTGCTGTCAATTACGTATGAAACTCTTTTCTCGTCACTATTATGAGATTTTCTCTTTTTAAAAGCAATTGTTATACGGATAGCAACTATAAAGTCCATTTTCTACAATTGGAATTAAAGAATTTAGATTATTATGCATAATAGGCAAGTTTGAATTTTGCAGAAAGTTATGATTATCGTTGCTTGATATTTGTCAGCTTTCTAGTCCTATTCCGTGCAAATACGACGAAATAAGATAAAGATTAACTGAAACACAGAATTAAGTTATGATTGTTTAAAATTTAATAATTTTATGCTACTATCCACGTAATTTTGTTATAAGACTCAATTCGTTTAAATTAAAGCGTATTTCCTCTATAATAATTATATAAAACCTCAGATAATTATTTATAATTATATTTTTTTAATTTACTTACCTACTGGAGTATATTTATATTTGTATAATGATACGGATACACGATGATTTATAACATTTTTATGTTTGAGCGACGAAATTTTAGAAAAATATAAATAATTTTCTAATCAACTTTACAATTTTGTTAAATGTGTTTCTACGAAGATAGATTTCTATCGTTTATTCACTTATATAGACAATATGATACAAAATTTTTAAGAAATGGTTAATTAATTAGCCTTATAGTAATAGAAAATTGTCGATACGTATTATTATTGTTTTTTTTTTGTTTTTTTTTGTTTATATATATATATATATATATATATATATACTTTAGTTTAATAATACATGACATTTTTTTAAAAATGAAAGGGAAAAGATTTTTTGAATAATGAGAATCTTTCTTTTGTAAGCTAAGAAATAAGCGTTAAAAATATGAAGAAATATGAAGAATGCCGGAGACACAAAAATAAAATTAATCTTTATAATTATATGAACAATTATAATTACAATTGTAACCAAATAATTGTGTAAAATAATTAGATAATCGATGTATGGCACTATTATTTCATTTGATTAAATTCCAAATTCCTTTTGTTTAACAAAGAAACAAAATGTTCGTAACATTGTTTCTTCAATTCATAAATTAAAAATAATTTAAACAATATTAAC